GGTCTTCCTGCAGTACGTTAGACAACCCGGGGAATCAAGTCACTAACGGCTCTCGTCCATCGGTTATCATTCATACGCATTACATGTCCGGCACACCTTATAATCGATTGTTTGGCGTACAGAACAGCATCTTTGGTTTTTGATCGATGACACAGGTCGGAGCTTCGGATCCCATCCCTTACCTGTGTAACATGGGATGCTCCTAACATCGTTCTTCGACTGCTCGTTCAATTACGCTGACTGATCTTTCATCCTGCTTACGCAGCGACCAGATTTCTGACGCATGCATTAGGGGAGGAAGTAACGTTGACTTAAAAAGGTGGGCACGGAGTGGAGTGCTCTTGGTTCTCTTCACTACATCCTCGATGCTCTTTAAAGCTCCCGAAGCCGCTCGTTTCCTTCTGCTCACCTCTGAAGCTAAGTCGATCATCATATTGATTTCCCGATCTAGATAGACATAACTGGAGCATTCGGAAATAATCGTTCCATTGCGCATGAATGGGGCATACGAAACCAATCCGTTCCTCACGAACATCGTTTTTGTGAGATTTAGTCGAAGACCAATCTTTCCACAGACTTTATCAAAGTCGGCAAGCATTCGTTCCGTTTGGCTAATGTTTGGTGTTATAAGTACGATGTCATCAGCAAAGCAAAGATGGTGTAACTACCGACCATCGATATTCACTCACATATTATCCCATTCCAATGTTCGCATAACGTTCTCAAGGGCAGCGGTAAATAGTTTTGGCGAGATGGTACCGCCTTTTCTAACTCCTCTTTTAACGTCAATGTTAATATCGTTGTAGAATGGTAATATAACTTAGTCGTGAAGTTTTTACACAGGTCACGAAGAAGTTTTATATACTGAGGAAGGACTAATTGACTATTAAGAGCTTCCAAGAATGCTTCTATATCAATTGATTCAAAGGCCTTTAAATCCATGAAAGTGAGCCAGAGCGGTCGTTTGTACTCTCGCGATAGTTTAACGAACACGCTATCGTGTGGATGTAGTCTATAGTAGTAAACCCCTTTCAAAACTATGCTTGCTCACATGGCTGGTCTTTCGTCCAGTGTTCTGTCAATTCTCCTTAGGGCGTCTCGAGTGAAAGGTTTATAGACGACAGACAGGAAGCAGATTGGGCAATAGTTGCCGATATCCTGTAGGTCACCCTTCCTGAACTTCCTGAACAATAACACGTTCTTGCTGATTTTCCACCTGAGTAGGAACCTCGCATTCAAACAGATAACGTGTGAAGAGCCCAGCCAGTGTGTTTACGAGGACATGAGGAAGGTTCTTCTGGTGTTCTGGTCTTATCCTGACCGGACATGGTGCTGTTCGATTTTTCAACGACGAAACGGATTTCGGAAGAGAGAACCAGTGGTACAGCATATCCATCCTCCTTTATTTCATATGAAGGAAGGTGGAGGTGGCTATGGAAGCGTAGTATTCGTGAATGATTTTCTCCATTGCCTATCTAGACGCTGTAACTGTTCCGTCTGTGCGTCGGAGTGCAACTAACTTGGTCTCGTAATTGGCGAAACGTCGGTGGGCTTTGTGAATACTTTTTCCAGCCTTTGCAGCATCCACTATTGCTGCTGTTCTTTTCTCCTTAAAATCTTCTTTATCGCCTGTCTGCATTGTTTTGCAAGTTCGGACGTTAGTTCGCGGGTGCCTGCAGCTCGTGCGATTCCACGCTGGCGTATCAACTCGACTATTTCTGGAAACAAACATCTCTTGATCACTTTGGAACTCTCAGCTTTCACAGCGCTATCGTGAAGAGGTTGAATGAGCGGACCGTATTCCTCATCGATGTTATGGACAACGGCATCTTTCCAACAGCCGACTAATGAGTTGAATTAGTCCCAGTTCATGGTGGTTTTGGGAGTTCGTTTCCTTAATTTCGCGGCTTTTTCTCTCTTCTGCGAGAAATGGAATCTTGCACGGAGGAGGCGGTAGTGTGATCCGGTGTAAAATTTTGGGACAAGAGCTACATCGATTGGGCAAAACCTTCGGTTTACTATGACGTGATCTACTTCGTTATGGTACTCTCCACTGGGAGACTTCCACGTCCAGCATTGACGGTTGGGTTGCTGGAATTTCGAGTTACCATGGATGGCCTTGGTCGTCATGACAAACTCAGAGAGACGCTCACCCTGTTCGTTCAATTCTAATCCATCAGTCCCAATGCGACGCTCTTCTTGGTCCAATCTTGGCGCTGAAATCTCCAATGATGACCTTCAAGAAGGTGTGGTCTTCTATGTAGAACTTCTCCAAGTCCACGTAGAACGCTTCGACTTCTTCTTCGTGATTGTTTGATGTCGCCGCGTAAGCGACGAAGAATGTCAAAGCTAGAACTGATCCGCATCGACTCCTCTAATGTCGTATGTTCCGAGGAACAGTTCTTCTCCGGTGTCATAGACGGCCTTGAAAAGCTGGCGTCTTCTCGTCTCGACCAGGCCGATGACGTCATACCTTATCCTTCTTGTTTGCATGAGCAAGTCTTCTACCGAGGACTCGGATGCATGTGTACGTGTATTGTAGGTACAAATCGTCATCATAGTTCTTTGAAAGCCAGGCAGCTTCCATTGGCCCTGAGATTTTAGCAGCCTTACCGTACTCGTCCTACCCAAGGCTGCAAAATTGTGGGGCACTTTCGGGGTCAGGGGAATGAGGCCTGTTTTTCTACTGTGTTTAACTGCCAGGATCAAATTTCTATTAACCTCGGCATTGGAATATGAATGTATCGTTTTCTTGTTCAGCAATCGCGAGGTTTTTAAACAGCATACATTTACTTCCATAAAGAAAACAAAATACAATACAACACTAGCTGACGTTTCGGCAGTATCCCCTTCTTAAGAGCCTAGAAAGGTATACTGATATACAATCTACAAGGTCAAACGCTTCAACAACACTTACAAAAAGACGAAAAACTCTTCGGTAATTACATGATTAACAACTTCTCGAAAAACTCACCGCTTTTTACGTGACTTCCAGTGAGAAAGTTTAGAACAGCTGATTATAGTCGCATGTGGTTGACGACTGCACCATCCCACATCAAAAATCGATGCGAACATACGGGACCAGGTCGCGTATGACCTCCAGGCATTCGTCACTGCTACTCACTGTAAGGTTTTTGGCATTTATCCAAAAAGCCTTATGGAGTTCTCGCGCTGGTGTTTTGGGCTCCTGTGCAAGGATATTGACTTACGTACGTAGACGAAGACGTTACGTAGACGTTCTATGAACATTTGGGTGTGACCTCACAAACATCTCTCCTAATAACGTGTAGGTGATAGAGTCTTTCGACGTTACCGCGCTGTACACCAACGTGCCGAATGACTCCGCAATGCAAGCAATCTTCGAACTTCTCGTTGAACATGAAGGAAGAATAAATATGCATAGTTTGTCCATCCAGCAGCTAATGGCTCTCTTAAAGGAGTGCCTAAACTGCTCGATTTTCAGATGGTCTGGGAAATATTTCGCGCAAATAAGGGGGTTGGCAATGGGGCAGCGACTGGCACGAAGCCTTGCCATTGTGTTTCTGTCTAAGATAGAAGCCCCTGCTCTCGATCTCCGGCCACTACTCTACTGCAGATATGTAGATGATTGTTTTGTCGTCTTCACTACGCAGGAGGAGATGGACAAATGCTTTGAATTATTGAACGAGCAGTCCGAGTACATAAAGTTCATCCGGGAGGAACCGAGAAAAAACTGGCTTCCGTTTCTGGACGTTCAAATAAACCTATCAAGTAGCGGTTACCTGACAAAGTGGTATCGAAAGCCAAGTAACAAGAACATTCTTGTTCATTTCCCTTCTTCCCACCCTTCAGACACAAAGAGGGCGATTGTGAGAAACATGTTTCGAACAGCCACCTCTGTGTGCACTATCAGGGAACTAAATGAAGAATCGCGCGACTTGGCTCGGCAAATAGCCATCTCCAATGGCTACGAATTAGTGACCCCACGAGATAAGTTTACAAGGAGAACGACGCGCCCACGCGAAACACTTGGCCAAAAGAAAGTCCCGTTTATGTTGCCTTTTATAAGAGATGAGGTAAACGTAGCTATAAAACGATGCTTAAGAAGGGCAGGTCTAGAGGAATCGGTAGCGATAGTTGAAATACCACCGGCTACTCTACATCGTCAATTAGTTCGTAACCGCCTGTATGACCGTCTGTGTGAAACAACAAATTGCGTAATTTGCCCTTGCGGCAGGGACGGTGATTGCATGAGTTCAGGTACGATATACCTGATCTCTTGTAACAATTGCGGAGATGAATATATTGGCGAAACGGGCAGACCTTTGTGTATCCGTATAAAAGAACACCTAGATGGCAAACGAAAACTAAGACGAAGCACCCCACTGGGCACGCATAGGATACAAAAGCATAGCGGAGACGATTTTGAAGTAAAAGTCAATATCCTTGCACAGGAGTCCAAAACACCAGCGCGAAAACTCTATGAGGCTTTTTGGATAAATGCCAAAAACCCTACAATGAATAGCAGGGACGAATGCCCGGAGGTCATACGCGACCTGATTCCGTATGTTCGCATCGATTTTTGATGTGGGATGGTGCAGTCGTCAACCATATGCGACTATAATCAGCTGTTCTAAACTTCCTCACTGGAAGTCACGAAAAAAGCGGTGGGTTTTTTCGAGAAGTTGTTGGTCATGTAATTACCGAAGAGTTTTTCGTCTTTTTGTAAGTGTTGTTGAAGCGTTTGGCCTAGTAGATTGTATATCAGCATACCCTTCCAAGCTCTGAAGAAGGGGATACTGCCGAAACGTCAGCTAGCGTTGTATTGTATTGTGTTTTCTTTATGGAAGTAAATGTATGCTGTTTAAAGATCTCGCGATTGCTGAACAAGAAAACTGTGTTTAGCATTTTGATACCCACGTATAGCTTGCTGGGTTTTGAACTGGGGACTGGATATACTCATGGATAGCTTGCCAGGCTCTCCCAGAGTGGACATGGAGCTCATTTGTTGGACGCGACTCCTAACCATCTCCCATATACTTCCCTGTCACTTGGTTACAGGCGTTTGGCCGAATTGACTCGTAGAATACAATCTGCATAAACTAAAACGCACCCAAACACGTGTGAATGAATTCACCTCGTAAACACAGGAACTATGTGCTAAATAGGCGCAGCAGAAACAAGGAGTCCATTCCCTGGATCCGCCTGAGTCTCGCGGAAACATACAGTCAGTTTTCGTCCGCGATTAATCCCCTATCCGCAACATTGGGACGTGCCACGTAGCCTCCCGACTAACCCGCTCGAGATCCCTCATTTGAGTGACTACCGTGGGATCAAGAAGTAGCTCTATAAAAATTCCTATTTAATGAAAGTGGCAACGAAGAATGCAGTTTGTGTTTTCTATCAGTTAACTCCAAACCAAATGCGTTAACAAACTGCTGTCTCGGTGTTATTAATTCGATCCACTTCCACACAAATAAGGTTTGTCATTGGAAATTAACAGCTAAGTAACACGTCATTATATATACTGGAGTTTTTTACAGCAAACAACCACTGATATGCTTTATATTTTCGGCAAAAAACTTTCCTCCAAGTTCATGTAAACGAAAAGTAGTCCTATTGCTTGTTAGCTGGTTCGTAGGAAGACCAAACTGTCTCTAAAGAAATGTAAAGGGAAAATATCAACTCTTGTTATAAAGAACACTACAAGATGGATGCGGCATGGAAGCCGTAGTCGTTAGATGCGCCACCCCCACTCCTTCATAGTTGTCGAATTGCCATCAGATTTATCTGGGGAAAAGCACTTTCGATCCACAAAGGTCGGCTAATGATCGTCGTGAAGAACTCAAAACACTTTAGCAGAGCTATACGAGAATCCCAGATAGAATCTTCAGCCAAAAATGAACGAGTGTGTATCGTAATGTACAGAGTGTAATCTTGTTTTATTTGAAGTCACAAAAATTAAAAGAAGTTCACATACTCCTACAAGACACATTCCCTGTATAGAATTGTTGTGCGCACTCAGTTCCAGATGATCCCTTTTCTGATCAATCAGCGAGAACTTCATGATGTTCTAGAAATAAAACGTAATGAATACACAAGATAATGAAAAAATATGAAGTTTTACGAAAAGAAAAACCTTGTCCTTGCTAGCAGTGAGTACACCTTCGCCAAATGGAACAATGCATGTAACGTTATCATAGTGTGGAGGCGAGAAGTCTACTGTAGCTTCGTACACTCCTTCGCCTAAAAACTTCAAGTGCACTGTAGATGCTGGAATACGAACAACAAGGAAGAAAATAAGCTTATAGTTTGGTAGTTTAAAAAGGGATACTGAAAGGAAAACGAATTCATAATAGTCCACACTTCAGCTGTGCCTGCGAAAAGATTTTACGCTAAAGTATCAAGATGAATTAGAATAAAACACAATGCGATAGAAGGGTTCTAAATTATAGAATACAGACGTTAAGTTAAATAGCAAGACAAAAAGGATTTGGGCAATAGTGAATTAACCACTACGGCTCACTCCACTGTCCATAGTTCTGAATGTATGTTAATGAGAAGACAAAGCCAACACTGGCAAGATGCAACCTAGACAAGAAAAGATTATTCTTTTAAGTTTTATTTTTCGTCAGGCAATTGATTCTTTATGGATCTCTTTACTTAAGCATCACTAAGCACATGAATAAAGCTATCAATTTCAGAAAGAAAGTTTCTAAATTATTAGCAACGCAAACGAACTCAACCACAACGCTGCTGAGATATTTGCAAAACTCTGGACCGCAGGTGTCTATGGTGGGAAACGAACGCGCTATTGTCCTTTCCGGGGAGTAACGCGTTCACCACCACACCATGCGGGTCCTTTGTTTCGCCTGTCTCTCAGCTATTTCTATCGATCTTTGCCACAGCAATCACCCGTCAGCGGAATTGATCTGGGGCGCCCAAATCGGCATAGAACCCAGTTTACAATAGCGCGTTCGTTCCACACCATAGTCACCTGCGGTCCAGAGTTTTGCAAATATCTCAGCAACGTTGTGGTTGTATTTCGCTTAGTACCCTGCCGCGAAATTATAGTAGGCAGAAAATAAGAAAAGGTACAAGCAAACGAACTCAATTTCAGTAGGAAACCATGCTACTTACATTATCGTTCTAGAAAGCGCCATGTAGCCGTATTTCCTCACAACTCCACACGATTAAACTCGTACCGCAAATCACACGATTTTCGATTCACGACGTACCTCCGGGAGATGTTTTGAACATTTTCACGTAGTGATCACGAGATCCAGTGAAAACTTGCACCATTCCATCTGGTCCTTCAGCAACTGCCAAACATGACACTTCGGAACTAGAGTTGAACACTTGAGGCTGACGTGACAAAGAGAATGAAGACGAGTTTTTAATGAAAAGAGATAAAAACGTCTATATTTTCAATGGATAAAACGGCTCATAGCGTAAATCTACTTTCAAACTGGTAGATTCTTCAATAGACTTCTGCGTAATAACAAAGACAGAGGGAATGATTATTAACTTTACCCCACAGCCAGTACAAATTGGTATCCTTAGAAACCAATAAACTTCGAAACGCGAAAAGAAATTGAAAACTTGACGAGATCTGCCAGGTCTTTGCTTTCGAGACTCATTAAATGGTTCCATTAGTTCATATGCCGTCCAAACAATGGCCGCCATTTTGGCGTTTTGAAACTGCCAATGATTTTTTCACAACTAGGCTATTTAATAGCTTGAGAAGTTGACTAACCAATAAAAGGCACTCTGCCATATCGCGCTCACGGCAGACATAGTTTTTCAACTTATAGCTTTCACTGCGCTTATCTAATACAGAACTGAAACTACGAAAAGTTGAAACACCAGCTTTTTTTTAAATTTTGAACGACAGCGGCAATCACAAAAATGATTGGAATCGCCGTGCTCTCCTCGCCGGAATACCTCTCCACCAAGTGCCAACGAAAAAACGAGAAAAAAGAATATATGGGATCGACAAAATCAGAATTTCACGTGGTAGAATGAGGCGAAATGTACTGTGTTGGTAAAAATCTGTATGATCTAACACCTCCGCTTCAGTTAAAAACATTCAACACAAGCTTTAATACACTTGTGTAAAGTTGGAGGTTACATTTCACTAAGTGTTAGTAGACTAACAAAATTTTCACTAGATTTTTAAAATCTTCATTTCTTAAACTATTTTACCACATATATGGGTTATGCATTACTCTTATCATCAGGAATGAACTGAACATAAAGATTTACCTAGGGTTATTTACTGCCCCTACTAGCCTTCCAAACGATGCCCACTTTTCCAGATTCCAAATCCGCACATCTCCACCAAACGATGTGAATAACAATTGTCCTCTAGGGTCAACTTCAGCGGCATTTACTACAGTCTCAAGAAAAGGCACAGTATTCTGTCGTGATCCTGGCGGACCTCCATCACCTAAACCAAAGACCTCAATCCATAAATATTGAGAGATATGCCTTTTTAACAATTCACTAATTCAACTTCAAAACAACCTAGCCAGTAAAAAATAAAAAAACAAAAAATAAGCATAATTCAATAATCGTGCTAGCGGGTAAAAATCAAGTTTTTATCAGAATGATTTGTTTTTTGGGTTGGTACGAAAATTTGTCTCGTTAACACCCTTTCATTGAAGCGTACGTTGGATTTGATTTATTATCAACTACGAATAGTATCTAAATGTTCTTTAGCTTTCTAACTAGACTATAAAGAACGCACAACATGGTTACTCCTATTTTGCCCATCCTTTATAAGTGTCGCTGAATCCAGTTGATTCTCACGTGTGGTAATAGCACTACGGCGTTCACATGTCTTAAAAACAGTCGGTCGCCGGTGTTTGTGAATCCGAATGTGCTCTTCCCATAAAAGTCTAATCTCTTGAACTCAGATGAACATGACACCTCCCTTAGCCAATACAGGATCAAACCAAGGTCCCGTATAAAACAGCCTGCTTACCACTGCGCAATTCGAAGAACTCGAAAAGTAACAGGAAATGAATTTATCTCAATCGTTGTAAATCAAAGCGCAATTTAAATTTGGAACTGATAAAGCAAGCGTTTCCGGACAGAACTTCACTAAGCCTATAAGAATTTTTAAGCATCGATACCTTTCTCACACTCTTCAAATGTTCAAAGAAGACTGGAACACTAATCGGTTCGCTGTACTTCCGATTGTATGTAAGTTTTGCTCAAGTGCATGGAAACGACAAAATATAGCAGTAATTCAAAACAAGTATAATAGTCATAAATAGCGTAAACGACAAGATAAATTGGCAAAAATTCCTTAAAAATTTGCATGTGACAAAAATAAGCATCAAACCCAAACACTCACCATCGTTCACCTGACCACTTGATTGTAACACACGTATGCATTCCTGTGTTCGCAAGTCCCAAACACGGATCTGAAACATTGAAATATTTCTTGTCCTAGGCAGAAATGCGTAGTTAAATTGAAACATAATCCTTTGAAGATTCTGATCAAATTCTCAGTTTTCATTTTATGAAGTTAGAACACAGCTTCAGCCAATAACACATTCACCATCATAATTAAGGCCATGGATCTATGCACTACTAGAAAACCAAGGGTGTCGAATACAAAAAATTGACAAGAACGTTTTCGAGTTTTTTGTCCCAGTTATTTGTTTCTGCGCAGTCTAAGTTGAATGAGTTCCCCAAATAGTTCGAGTTCAGGTGTTGTTCGAGATTGTCGCTTAACGCCTTTAACGAACGCAACCGGCTGCAGAGACTGAAGTGGGCTTTCATAGGTCGTGTCGTTCTAAGCCAGAGCAGCACCGATCATTCGCCGGAACAGGTTTAAAATCTACGTTGACCTTCCAATCATTCATCTCACAAATCTCAATCCACACCATATACATATGTCGCTGAAGCCATATTTATAATTTGTTCTATTAACATAATTCAGAAGCACAGAATGTTTGAATAATTTCTTCGCTAGAATTTGTATACCACATGAAATAAAACCTTATCGTTGAAGTAAAATGCGATAACGTTGAGACCTACCTGATACATGGAGACAGAAATGGCCAGATTAGAATTAGGCACAAAACGTACAGCATGTACATTGTTCGGATGGACGCCTAGAGTTCTTATCTCGCTACCGGTTTGCAAATCCCAGAACTTTGCAGTACGATCTGAAAAAGCAGAGTTTTACTGCAGACAGAGACTTTAACGAGGTTACGATAAAGGAAAACGACAAAACGTTGTGTGCTCACCAACCCTTAAAAAATTCAATTATTTAATCAAAATTTTCATACTGGTCGATCTACAGCCATGATACTGATATTCAGATTAGTAGAGTGGGTTAGAATTCCAGTTATAACTATTCTGTGCTTAAGAATAAGGGCTGAATTCTAAAGAGAAATACGACAGTGGAATTTTCTACGAATTGAATTTTACCACTTCATTATACATAGCTAACCTCAAAAAACTCTACGTATTAGTTAAATAGCACAGAAGATGACAACAACATAATGAAGAAAGCTCCACACTGACGCACAGATCCAGAGCCATAAATATGTAGAAGAAATTACTTTTCTGGCTGGCACTCCAGCTCAGCTCACTTTGGGAAAGCAGCAACAGATCCCAAGAATTAACTTGATGTCATAAACTTTGCATACCTTTGGAACCTGATAACAAAAAGTGCTCTGTGGTCGCCACCGATAGGACTGCCTTCGAATGTCCTTCGACAGTTGCAGTTCTAGTAACAACGCGGTACTGCGAACCACTACCAGGCCGTACGGGAACAATGCGACCATGCTTGCTGTAACATTAAAGGATGCCCTCTAAGAAAAAATGCGAGTTGATTTCTTGAACGATGCGATGGAATGCTTACAATCTAAAATTTCAGATCCCATAGTTGAAATTTTGCATGTACAGTTCATCTGTCAACACACCATTAAGAAACTTTAAAAACCCTGTTACCAATAGGGGTCGATATTTTTTGAGGTCGTGAACTCCAAAGCTTGCTTGCCGTTATGATCGTCGTAAGACAATAACCCAAAAACGAAACAATTTTTGGACCATGAAGGTGTTTGAAAACGAAGTCAGTCGTACAGCACTTTTTTCTACACAGTAAACGGGTTCTAAACGATTTTCAACCAATTAAAACAAAAAAAGAAAAGCAAAAGCATTGATAATGTATCACTCGTCGGCTAAAAACGATATCATAGAAATCACAAAAAAGTGTGGTTATCCGTTTTCACACTGACGAGCAGTACATGGTTTAGAAGTAGAACAGCACGTTGTTCCAGTTTACAGTGATTAGTAAGGATTATGGTTAATGCGGTCAAAAATAAAACTCTTTTCTTTCGAAATTTCACAAAGAGGCAAATGTCGGGCCATGCAGAAAGAGATAGAAAGAACTAGTCACTACTCACAAATCTTCCTCGAACATTCTGATGAAACAGCTCTGCAATTAATGCTGCTGCATCATGTCTTGTACACTCAGGTTATTCTGATTACTTTTGAAACACCGGTGACAAAAACGACAAGCTAAACGAATTTGAAGAACTCAAACCGATTTAGAAGCGATGAAGGATTGGCATCTGCTGTCAACGGAAAGAGACAGGCGAAGACCGATTTGGTAGTTCGTGTAGGGCCAGTGCCTGCCTGTTCATGAAATGCAGTCTGTTCTTCAGAAACACGTGAATCTTCCATCAACGACGGAAGACGTGAAGATAGACGCTTCCAGCTAGTCAGTTTACTATAAACAACAACGAAGACAATCACAAACACATCCACAACACTGCTAGAACGGAAGCAAATAAAATCTTAACCAAGCAGTGCAAAAGCTTTAACGCAACCGCTCGTTTCTATCACTAAACAATTGCAAACTTCAAACGTTCACCGCTCCTCTTTGCAGACGCCACATGAGATTTACAACAAAACAAAAGCGCCTAGATTGGAATATAGCAAACATTGTTCGATGTTGACGCCAAGGTACAATCATTAAAGCAACAATCACGTACAAGAGATACTCCAAAATATAACTGACTAGTCATGACAATAAGTCATTCAGAATTTCTGGACAAGGGTAAAGAAGAAGTTTGCTATCATCCATTGAACCAACATATCCGAACATAGTCACTTTGCAAACTCTTGCCGATTTGTTGAAACGCATGGTCTTCCCTGCTTACTAATTCCGATCATTTTTAGTGGATTGTTCTCCCCGATCTGATAAATTATGAATAGCATTTCTTCGAATTAGAAGCTTTGTTTCGTGGTCTCTTAGCTCTTTTGTACAAAAACTCCTTTCAATTCCGCTACGTACACAGCACTTGCTAGCTCGGCGGTAAATTGGCTTCGCTGAGATTGCGGGAGTTTAACTGCGTCGATGAATTTTACTTTTTTCCCGATCCTATTACAGACGATCTATTTTCCATCGGGCATAATCATCCGCTTCAAAAATAAGATGCTCGAGAATGAAAGAGCACATAAAAAATCACTGGCATTCTATTAGTTCGCGATTTCCTCTCTCTTTTCCGGAAATAACCTAGGTGACATTCCAAAAATGCTCTTTCTTTGTGTTAAAATTTCCTAGGATGTACAAAATACTTGTGAACCTGTTGCGCTCTATTTCCAGGCTCCATGAAAACCCTAAGGGCACATAGATGTTATCGGTTTGGAGTTGATAGTAGATCGAATTCACCACACAACTTCGAGTATAAGCGAGGCAAGCTTTTGCACAAATCTTCATATATTCATACATATATATATATCCTAACGGTCTACCGCCTCATAGTGGCTGGGATGTGTTGCTGGTGGCGATATACAGCGGAAGACTCATGCTCACAACACGGCCTTCCAAACTGAGGAGTCTGGCGTTTCCGTCTGGAGGGGTAGCTAAGAGTAAACCAATACTAGGATCCACCACAGTCCTGGTATCAAACGTATCGCATGGTGGCAAATCTCCCTCTGATCCACAAGGGCACGGACTCCTTGTGGTGGTGACGACCTGGGACACACGGACACACTTTAGCCTGGCTGACCTTGGAACCAGGAAACCAGAACGGCTAAACCACCAAAGCTCCGACAAAATGGAGATTATGCTGTGGTTAGCACAACCAGTGAAGATAGGCTATCCAAGTATGCATATATGTATATATATATATATATATATATATGTGTGTGTATATGTAAGATAAGAACCAAGAAGAATTTCAAAAATTGTTAATTAAATTTAAGGAAAGGCAGGAAAACGAAAAATTGATGCCATCATACATTGAAAATTAACACACTAGTAAGGTCGCAAGGATTTTTGTTTCAAAAATGTTCAAGCCTTCAGCATTCAGACAGTTGTATACGGATAAACCCCATTCATAGCAAACTGGTTCGCTAGCCTTTGAGGGAGCATGTATGTCGGTAAAGAGGATTCTATTTCGAAGCCGCAGTACGTGGTCAAATCTCAGTGGCAAGAGCAGAGAATGGAGCTTCTAGAGAATGTTACTCACTAATGTCACTAAACGATCGAAAATACGGTTTTGTTTTGAATATAAACGAAACACGACCACACCCTCGGTTGTGCGGTGGCGGCGGTAGGCGAGACCCTGCTGGCAGGGACATTCGAAATTTCGAAAGCCTTCCGAATGCTGTTGACGTTGACGATAAATCTGGCAGCAGAAACGGCTTGGCATCACTGAAGCCAAAAAAAAGAAGCACTAAGAAACAGACATATGAATAGGCATAAGGGGACGACAAAGAAAAGTTGTCAATCGGGTATGTGCGGATTTCAGACTTGCGAAACAAATTTGGTTCAAGAAGGTTGCAAAAAATCAGGAACTTGTAGCAATTTTATTGCGATCTTTTGTAGACCAGAACGCTGTAGTTTACGTCGGGTTCACTTGCGTCTTTCACTTAACAAACCACTCAAGTCACTATTCTGGAAACTTTACTAAATTTAATACAAAAATAGACGGTCTAGGAAAAGTTTTTCCACCCCGGATCGAATCGTAAGACAGATCACGATGAAACAACTGTTAACATCATCTCCGCGCAATCCTGATAACTGACAACTATCAAACAGTCTGATGGTAATTGCCCACCATACATAAAACCAAAAATGATTCACCGTGCTTGTTAATAATAGTGGACATGAACACAGTGTAACTAAATGGATGAAGCACCAAAGCACATAAGCGATAGAGAAGAAAAGGTGGTTAATTTAATTCCACGCTGTAAGCACATAAAAACCTCAAGAAAATGGCTTCAAGAACATATGTTGTCAGGACAAAATTTAGCGCACACTGAAATATTTCGTCATAAAGCCAATACAACTTCAATGAAACTAGATAATAATGTTTTAACGTTTTGTTTTCTGCCTTCTATAATTTTCATGGCAGGTTACTAAGCGCATGGTGTGGTGGTGAACGCGTTACTCCCCGGAAAGGATAATAGCGCGTTCGTTCCCCACCATAGACACCTGCGGTC